AAATTGATCAATTTCTTTCAAATAAAATATGTATATCACCTCAAATTAACTCCACTAAGTTTAGTGGAAATAGTTAATGTGATTTAGTTGAGTAAATTCAACACTTAATTTTTTTAGAGCACATAAACAACTCCTTTCATGATGAGTTCAGACAGATTTAATTTATAACAAGTAACTAGGCGTTATACTTTGAAATAAAGAAGTAAAAGTATAATTTTTAGGTTTTAATAGTAACTAAGTAAAAGTAAAAGTCATGATTTAAAAAAATACTTGGTAAAATTACAAATCCTCAAAAAATTTTACTACTGTAACAAAGTAAATGTACTTACTTACTATAAACCTCTGATTTTGGGTAACTGTTGTTTTTATATAAGTCATTTAAATGAAACAAATGTGTTTAGATATAACAAGAAACTTTTTTGCAYTTTTGTTTTTTTCGTGAGAAACCCTTTTTTTGTTTGTCGTTCTCAGTCCTGTCCAGCAGGTGGCGGTGTGGCACAGGTCAGATAGTTGGACACCGCCAACAACCACCGAAGAAGAGAGAAGGAAAATGGCGTCTCACACTGACAAGACGGCKGATAGTCAATAAACTGATAAAACATACAGTTAGCTGTAGCATTCTGATCCACTGTTCAGGCTGAACCGCTTCTTCTTCGAAGTTTTCTCTTCGGTTTGAAGGAAATATGGAYGATTCAAAACCTCGATACAGCAAAAGACTGGTAAGTCTGAGCCGAGTCCCGGTGGGATGGGTTATCCTGTGCAACACCGAGTTTAACTTGTATAAAACAGGTCGAGTGGTAGAAAATAAAACCTTAAAGCTGCATTGTTGTAATGCGATTTATTGCTGGAAGAATTTCATCAACATACAGTCTAATTAAATCAACCTGACCCCGGGATTTCGTACCTAAACAGTGATGTGCCTGTCACTGCTAGTTTCTTGATTAATGTTCAGAATAATTTATGTCAGTGAATAAAATAATAACAGTCAGGTGAGTTACTGCAGACGTTTGTCTTTATTTAGTCAGAAACATTTCAGCATTTTGTCGGTGACAAAGTAGCTCAAACAGTCTGTTGAAAACATCTCTGAGGAGGCAGAAGAAGAAGCAGCAGCTGCTACAACATCCATTATTTACAGAAGTCCTTTTTAAGTTAGAGTCCTTAAAGTCAGGGGTCAAAGGTCAAGGGTCAGGTTAATAATACAAGGTGGGATTATTTTAATCCAGTGGGAGTGCTGAATGATGAAAGACTGCTAAAATTTGCTAAATAAGTTAACATTTATCAAGTTGAGAAACGGAAAAAGATTCCAAAAAGAGCAGAAGAAAAGCTAAAAGGAGGAAAACTATACCTAAAGGCTAATACCAATGAAAAGTAGCGCAGCACTAGCTTAAAGCTAAAAGTAGTGAAACACTAGGTAAATATTAGGAGTATCAAGAAGCTAAATAAAAGCTAAAAGTAAAAACTTAAAGTAGCATGACGCTAAGTAAAAGTTAAAAGTAGCATGACGCTAAGTGAAAACTAAAAGTAGCATGAAGCTAAGTAAAAGCTAAAAGTAGCATGATGCTAAGTAAAAGTTAAAAGTAGCATGACGCTAAGTGAAAACTAAAAGTAGCATGAAGCTAAGTAAAAGCTAAAAGTAGCATGATGCTAAGTAAAAACTAAAAGTAGCATGAAGCTAAGT